AAGAGGGATGAGAGGAGGTGTGGGGGGGGGGTGGGGGGGGGGGGGGGGGGGGGGGGGTCAGGACACCATTAGGGAACTGTTGAACTGTGTGCTAAAACCCATGTACTGGAATCAACGTGTCTGTCATATGTAAGTGCAGTGTAACACACTCCCTGCTCCGGCCACAGGGATCGCATGGGTGGTGATGATTTAGCTCTGTGTACGTGACAGCTCTCCTGTATTTTTACAGCACTCCCCTTCAGAAACCCATATGCACAACACCTCCAGGTTTAGTTAAAGCATTTCTAATTGCATGGCTTTAAACACATGTCAGAGGGTAAATGATCAAACTGCAGCAAACTACTCCCGAGGTCCTGACCCATTGAAGCGTGCTGTTACACACCGATCAAAACAGACTGAAGCACTATGGTCTGAAGCAGCTATTGCTACTGATGGTACATTTTGATGAAAATAAAGTGTCAGATTTCCATCTTTTTTTCCTACTTTGGTCATGTTGCAACACAGAATCAGTAACACTATCAATTACATGTCAGAACAGAACATCTGAGGTGGAAAAGCACTGATTGGACCTTTAAATATTGGCATCACAGTCAAATGCCTCATTGGGTTTTATGTGCAGTGTGACATTGGTAAACAGTAGATCCCATCAAGGAAAATTAAACCCTGCAGCTGAGGGGTTATAAGTGAAGTGAACCATACAAAACCATAAATCAACAACTTGGACTATGGTAGCTTCTATAAAGCATGTGCTTTATATTGAAAACGACCTTGGTCCAGAACCAGGAACCTCAATACTAAAGATGGATAGCCTAAAAGTCCCTTTGTTATGTCAGTGATTTGTTTAGTGGCTGCAAAACACGCACGACCGAAATACAAGCAGAGACAACGCTGCAACTCTACTGGGTAGTTAAATTGTTTTATACTGCCCTCCGCTGGTCTGATTTGAGCCTGCAGTTTGTTTGTGCTCCCATTTCCAATTTTAAAATGTTACGGTAAAAGCTTGATTTAAATACATTTTAACTTTAAAATTAGCGGACGGCATTTACCAACATGTCAGTTGTCTCTCCAATGTCCTGGGGACCACAAGACACACCATGACAAATTCCAACTCAACCCATAAATGTCAACACAGCAGGTCCTGACTGAAAGGTCAGTAGGAAAGTGAAGACAGTAGGAAACAACTAGATTAAAATCCAAAGTGTAAAAAATAATAAAATGTTCCCAAGAGTGTAGTCAATGGCCACAGGTGGCAGGTAAGCATGGTAAGCGATCTCCTGTTTGTACTGCTACGTTTAACGCATCCAAACACATGCATGCAGTAAGGCTCAGCAGCCTTGTAGAAGAAAGCAGACACGGCTGCTGCAAAAAATAAAAAAAATAAATAAATGACGCTCCCTACCGTGTTGAGATCTTCATGATGACCATTCTGGAAAATTAATCAAAAACAAAGACGAGTCATGTTTGAGAACAACATTGATTAATCAAATAATTACTTTCTTATTAAATGTAAAACCAGAGTTTGACTATCACCTTGCATTTTAGGTTGATGAGTGAACTTTAACCTCTAGACAACCTGTTCTCTGTGCACAGAAACCCCATTTTTTTCAAACACTGTTGATTACAAGTTTAATGTTTAATATTTAATATTAACAGTTTATTGCAGATATTTGAATGTTGTGATAGATGAATTTAAAACAGTAAAATGGTTGAAAAGGGTTCAGTTAATTAACAAATTCTGATGTGGGACTTTTTTTAAAATTAGTTTAAGCAACAACATAAATAAATTAAGTTTTCTTCCACTTTGAGTAAAGTATAAGCTATTTAGCAATTAATACATATGGTAAAAACGCAAAAGGTAGTGAATCTATCTCAGCCGTTCATTTGACCACGTCGAGTTGCTAATAAAAAATAATTTTGTACACATGTGGCTTTTCAGCGTCTGACGTTACAATGCCACGCGTTGTCATGACAGCTTTGCCTGCTTCCACTATAAATAGTACGTTAGAGCGTAGTTGACACAGCGCCATGTATAGGCCTGGCATATGTACTACAGGAAATCTTTCAGGTTGTCCTTATTGACGCTGGAACCGGAAATCAACATACGAAACTTCCTGTTGTAGTGTGCGAAGATGGCGCCGTCCTTGTTCAATTTTGTCGATGCAAAAGACAAATTCACGGTAATATGACGCCTAATTAATTGTGTTAGTAAAGTTTCTGTAATAACATTAAACATATCTTAGAGGTGTGAGTGGTTAATGTACATAAAATATTCAAGGTCTTTAAGTTTCAGTACTGATTCTCTTATATTAGAACGGAGCTGTTGCTAGCTATGCTACAGCAGAGTTTTAACGATACATTTCTTTTAAACATGGTATTATTCTCTTTACAACACTTACAGGCTTCGTTTAAACATATTCTCTTTACAACACTTACAGGCTTCTGCCAAGGCTGCACTTACTGATAAAAACAGCAATTCGTTGTTAAGTGTTTTTAACCAGCTACCGGGCAAGTAAGTACATTTCATTTAGCTTCCTTACTCGAATGGTATATATACGCAAGTAAATAAGCAAATCATGATCATGAGTCTAATATGATTTCTGTGTGCAGTGAGACCGAAAAGAAAACCACTCTTGATCAGGCTCTGAGGGGTGTTCTTGGAGATCAGATTGTAAGTATAAACGTGGCACATGACCCTCATTTTATTTAAGTAAATGATGTAAATAAATATATTGAATTTTCTCTGCAGGTCGTGAAGCAAGTGAGCTGCGATGACTACCTGGCTCTTATCTATCTGAGTATTGACTGTGTAAAAGAGGGTATGTTAAACGTACTAATTTCTCCTTGTTTGATTAATATTATAGAGGTATAATTAAATTGGAATATTTTCTTATTGAAGCAATTAAAGATTGGGGAGTGTATTTTTTTTAACTTCTGTTTGAACCTATTTTTGTCCCTCCAACTTTGTGCAGGTATCTGTTCTGCCACAACACCTTTCATTCTGCTGGGAGATGTACTGGATTGCCTACCTCTGGATCAATGTGACAAAATATTCACATTTGTGGAAGAGAATGTCTCGACATGGAAATCGGTGAATAAAAACAAAATCTCCCCAAGTCGAGATCTTTTCAGTCATGAAATCAAAAACATAATTGAGATTATTCTATTTTTATCCCTTTTGCCAGAACAACTTCTACACTGCTGGGAAAAACTACCTGTTAAGAATGTGTAATGGTAAATATGACACAGAGCTCTCATTTTCTGAATATTATCAAGTGGTAAGATTAAGTGCTGGTTTTGACACATCCTTTTGCCTGTGTAGATCTTTTGAGGAGACTCTCCAAATCTCAGAACACAGTATTTTGTGGGAGAATACAGCTTTTCCTGGCACGGCTCTTTCCTCTGTCTGAGAAATCGGGTAAGAAAATCATTACCTTCATGTTGTCTTTGAATAAATGTATAGATGCCAACAGAATATTTTAGGTGTAATTTGTGTATTTATTATAATCTATTCCAGGTCTCAATCTCCAGAGCCAGTTTAATCTTGAAAATATAACAGTTTTTAATAAAAATGAACAGGAAAGTACTCTACTACAGAAGGTAAATATTGTCCCTGGGACATTTGTTTGGTTTTAACCCTTTTTAATCAATGGAGTTTTTTTTATCTAATCTAATTTTATGATTTCATGTTAAAAGGCTGCAGATGAGAAAGAAGATGGAATGGAGGTGGAAGAAGGAGAGATGGAAGAGGAGGATGCTCCTGCACCTTGGTACGTGGTCTTCTCGTATAGACTTTTTACATTTTCACTTTCATTTTTCTGCCTCTTCCCTGCAGTTCATTAAAACAATATCAAATAACGTTTTCAGCTCCATTCCGATTGATTACAACCTGTACAGAAAGTTCTGGACACTGCAGGACTACTTCAGGAACCCTGTTCAGTGTTACGATAAATTCTCCTGGATGACATTTCTGAAGGTAAAGAAGCATTAAAACACACCTGAGGGTTTCTTTAAACGGGTCAAAAGTCTCTCATTGTTAACATCAGCCTATGTCTTGGTCAGTACTCAGATGAGACATTGGCAGTGTTTAAGAGCTACAAGTTGGATGACATGCAGGCCTCCAAGAGGAAACTGGAGGAGCTGAGGGCATCTGGAGGAGAACACGTCTACTTTGCAAAGTTTCTCACAAGTGAGAAGGTGAGTTTAGGGTTACAATTTTTTTTTTAAGTTGTGCCATTACAAGAAGCTTTAAGAAACAATGGATATTTTCTTTTCTAAGAATTTATACATGTGTATATATAAAAATTCTACATAATCCTGGTCAAATGCCAGATTGTTGTGATAGTGAATGAGAAGGTAACTAATTTAAAAACCCTCCCTCTCGCCTCAGCTGATGGATTTGCAGCTCAGTGACAGTAATTTCCGACGACATATTCTGCTTCAGTACCTCGTTCTCTTCCAGTACTTGACAGGTCAGGTCAAGTTTAAAAGGTGGGTTCTCAATTGTGTTTTTTTTAGACTTTCTCTGTCAGTTGGACCAGGAAATTTTGTGAAGAATATCAAATAATATCATCAGTTATTTGTGCAGCTCCAGCCTCATCCTGAACGATGACCAGTCCACATGGATCGAAGAGACAACTAAACTGGTTTACCAGGTGAGTTCTGCGTTTTATTGACAGCCTAGTCTCTTATTTCTGCATTTTTATGGAAATTGATGTCAACAACACCTACGTTTATGTATTTATTTTTTTAAAGACATCTTTTATTCTGTGATTGTCATAGCTCCTGAAAGAGATTCCTCCAGATGGAGACAAGTTTGCCACCATGGTGGAGGTCAGTCACGTTACTTGGTGTCCATTAAGGCTTTTCCATATTCATAATCAAAGTTACTGTGGTAATAGTGTTAAGTGTTATTTTTTTTCAACAGCACATTCTTAGCACAGAGGAAAACTGGAACGCTTGGAAGAACGAGGGGTGTCCAAGCTTTGTGAAAGAGAGGTAAAGGAAATTTGTTGAAAATTGATGTTTAAGTACGTCTAATATTAATTGTTGTTTTAATCATATGTTGTATTTTGTTTTCTAATTCCTAGGACAGTAGACGACAAACCAAAAAGGCCAACAAGGAAGAGAGCAGCTCCGGAAGATTTCCTGGGGAAAGGGCCAGACCGTAAGATCTTCATGGGAAAGTATGTGATTTAACTTCCGTCCATGTGGAGTATAAGACCCGATGGTATCACTCATTCAAATTCTTCTGTTTCACAGTGACGAATTAACTCGACTATGGAACCTGAACCACGACAACATGGAAGCCTGCAAGTTGGAAAGCAGGGAGTTCATGCCGTCTCTGGATGAATTCTTTGCAGAAGCCATCGAACAGGCCGACCCCGTTAACATGGTGGAGGAAGAGTACAAGTGAGGGAGCAGAGATACATTGTTGGCATCTTTTTTTCTTTTTTTAAAGGTGTTGAGTTTTCTCATTTGATTTTTCTTCTATATTCTTGCAGAGTTGTTCGGAACCCAAACTATGGGTGGCGGGCTCTGAGATTATTGTCCAGGAGAAGTCCACACTTCTTCCAACCAACAAACCAGAAGTTCAAAAGCCTGGCAGACTACCTGGACAGTATGGTCAGCAAACTGGCCAAAGAACTCCCGGTGAGGATGTCTTTACCTCCGTGAACAACAGCAAAAAGAACTAAACATTTTTTTTAAAACTGCAGTATAATCCTGACTCTTGTTGTCCACATGCAGAAAGACATCCCATCGGAAGAAATCAAGACAGGTGAAGAGGATGACAATGATGAAGATGAGGATGACAATGGCGATAATCTTCTCAAAGAAAGCAATGACAGTGAGTTCAGATGTTTGTTCTCATAATCAAACAATTAAAAAAATCCTCAGTTTCCACAGGGCCATTAATCTTAATTATAACTTAGGTCCACCTTTGACGTGTTCTCCAGGTCCAAGCATACAGAGCAAAATGGTATCAAACCAGCAGATGGACAACGTAGCAGCCAAACTGGGCGCCCAGTGGAAGACACTGGCCACCCACCTGGAGATGAAGGCGGCAGAGATGCGGGAGATCGAAAACGACAGTGAAGACGAGGAGATGCAGGCCAAACTGCTGCTCGTGGCCTGGCAGGACAGAGAGGGGAGCCAGGCCACGGTGGAAACTCTGATCACAGCTCTGAACGCTGCAGGTTTCTCTCAGATTGCAGAGACTCTCAGTGAAGAGTAGCTCGTTTACTGTACTTAAAAAAAAATCCTGACCTTTGTTAAATTGTTGCAGCATTTTGTACGAAAAAAATACTGAATTGAATTTTTGTTTGTAGTTGACTTTTTGAAGGTTTTCACAACAAATTAATAAATGTTTTTCTAATAAGTGACTAGTATACATGAATTAAGGGGGCACTTCCTATTTCGGGAACCAGTGGGGTAAACTAGGAATCAATCTAAATGATTGACTCGACACTCTTTTCTCATAGAAAAGATTCTCACAACTTGGTGTAACAGTTTATTTTCACCAGCTATGAAAAGCAATCAGTCAATAATTTATTACAGAGTTGATGTTAGAGCTACACATCGCAGAAGACCTGCACGGAGAACCAAACTGAAGTCAAGCCTTTTAGCAATATTGTTACAGGTGGTCTCATGTTCAGAGACGCCACTGAAGTTTAACATAACATTAAGTAATGAAACAGTTTGACAGCATGCAACCAGGAGAACTTGACGTTTCAGAAAGAAACCATCCAGGTCTTGTACTTGAACAATTCTAAATCAATCAGCAGATAAGAATCAAACCTCTCATCTCAAACCCTGCCTCTTTTTCATAACACCAAGGTGGTCGCAACATAGACGTCCACAAAAGCAATGACTGGAGGCCTTAATGTGAGCAAATCAATCATGGATTTGCCAGAAAGAAAACCAGAAATGAAAAGGGTTTGAAACATCTCAGGTGAACAAAAGAGAAAATACCCCAATTAATCATGTTAGAACATTAAGCCAGAACGTGAAGAACAGCTTGACAAAGCATTTTTGTACAACTCGATTTTGCTTTTGAGATACGAGCACCTTATCAAAGGCTTTAAAAAAATACACAAATGTACAAAACATTGAATGAAAATGCAGAAGTCAACTTTAACCTCATCATAAGAACCAGTCTGGAGAACAGTTCTCAACAATCCCCCAGGTTACAAGCTCGCTTTGGTTGAGTATTTAACACCGTGTAACCTTGTTTCATCACTATCTGTTGATTACAAAATCATAAACATCATCATATATTTAAAGACACCGGTTTTATTGCACATCTATGCAGACAGTGCTTGGAAATGGCAAATTAGATGCATGTGGGATTTTGTCTTCTGGCAGCTCTGCCTCGACTACTGCTCTTCTTCAAGTATTTCTAACCGCCGGGGGCCATAGAGTAGAACATATGCTATATGCCAGTCTCCTCCACCCGACAGTCGCAGGATGTCCTCTGGAGACACTAGGCTCACCTTGTCATCGTCAAACTTGACCCATTCATCTAGTCAAGAGAGAGAGGACGATGCAGTTGTGGAACAAGTGTGTGGGCTGTGAAAGCTGTGAATATGAGGCACTTACCTTCTTTCCTTTTCACCCATCCTACGTAATGGCCTGAAGAGCTGGAGCGCCCTTGGTGTGTTAGCACCGCCTGCAGGTCGTAGTAGCCGCTGTTGTTAGAACCAACATCTAGAGAAAAGGGAAAAAATTTTTTTGTTTGATGCAAGAAAATTAATCAAGATTATAAACCTAAGGGAAACACTAATATTAGCTCCATCAAGTGCTAATAGGCCACGACTAAGCCAGTGTTTCCCAAACTACAATGGTCCTCTAGTTGCAATTTACTCACTATTGACTTTACGCATTTTTACTCTAATTAAAAAACAACACACAGCGATTTTTAGCAGCCTCTCTTCTTTTAGGTTTTATAATATAACATGACATTGTTTAGAGTCACAGGTTTACATCTCAACTTACCTTCAGAAAAGGAGAAGGGCTCATACTTCACCTCTTTGGCTGCATCTGGTTTCTTCAGTGTCTGATATAAAAAAAGAAAAACATTGAATGATTGTCGACCACAGCAGTGTTGTAATGAAACTTTGGTCCAGCGGTTTACCTTCTGCTGCTGCTTCTCCAACTTCTTGTCCTCCACATCCTTGAACTTTGACCTGATTGGCAGCATCTTCTCCTGGAGCTCATTGGTGCACAATTCATAGACGTCCAGCATGAGCGGGAACTTGACATCCTTTTGGGAGATCATGTTTTAGGTTTTATTGTGGTTCATGTGAGTGCATACGGTGAGTCATCGTCTCAGCACAAACCTTGAGGACTTTAGCATTGACTGAGGCCTTCTCTTTGTAATAAAATCGGACCATTTGAACAGTCAGGTAGGCCGGCAGACGGCTGAGTTTGGACTGGTGGAAGAATGAACACAAATCGTGAATAAGTATCACTGTACAGATGGAAAGCACTGCACCATTCAAGTAACAAGAAAAACGTACAGATTTAATATACTGAGCATTTCTGTCCAAGGTCGGAGAGTTTTTTGTGATTTCTTCCTGAAGTCTCTACAAAAGTAAGACAAAAATACATGCAGGAGTTAAGATATTGAGGAAGATGTGTTTTTTGGGTTACTGCTTTAAAACAAATCAAAGTTAAAGTAAAATAAAGTTGTGATACAGACCAGCCTGAGTCCTGTTGCCAGGTATTTGACCTCTGGATTGATGAAGCAGCTGAGCTGGAGTTGATTCTCTTTGCCCTTGATTGGCTCCTCTTCCTCAGACTCTGTGCATTTCATGCTGAAGCAGAGAGTTAAGAAAAAAAAGGCAGAAAACACCAACACACCGAATTCACTACACAAAAACTCACAACCCCAAGACACAAATTACAACAGCAAGGATACCAAGTTTCGAATTCCACACCAAAATACTGGTCGATGAAGTTCTTCTTTGACGAGGCAGATGCCGCAGCGCTCTCGGTGTCAGTCTAAAGGATCAAAACAACAACAAACAGGTTTATATTTCCTTTTATGTATTATTCATATAATCTAAAACATCACAAGTGAAACATACCTCCATTGGAGTCTCTGGCTCTAATGACTCTAACTTCTGCTGAAGAACTCTCATCATCTGCAGCCAGCACTCATTTGCATCCTGTAAGAAAGCAAGAAATAAATGCAATACTTAACAAACAGATTCTGCAATATATTTTAAAGTTTTTGAAGCCATAAAACTGGATACATATCTATTCCAGACCAAAACACTGTCTCCCAGATGTCCATTACGTTGTACGTGTCCAGTTACACTGCCTACAACAAGTCGAGCCTGGACAAAAGACGGGTTCTCACCTGCTGGAGATACTGCCCCTGGTCTCCCTTCTCAGCAAACTGTGGAAAGGCCATATGGAGGAACTGCAGCAAAATGATGGGCGGGAGACTGGATGAGGTCTTGTCCATGGTCTCGTACAAGTCACGAAGTGCTGCGGATACAGATGTTGTTGTGTTGGTAATTTTCTACACATTTCAATACACCAGTTAGTAAACAACCTTCAACTTTATACCTGCTGTTATATACTGTGACGGGGCATTGGCCCCTGAAGACCGCAGAGAACCTGTGTACCTGTAGAGAAACAAAGCCAACAAAAAGATTTTAAAAAAAACATTAAGAAGAGTGAACTTTGGCCAAGAAAAAGATTTAAAAAAAAAAAACATTAAGAAGAGTGAACTTTTCAAACATCTAAACATATCTATGACTTAGACCCACCTTCTGAGGGCAGTTTTAAGTTCTGGGACAGAGCGAAGGCACTGCACAGTGGCATTCATGTAGCATGTGTTGCCCAAGTTGGTCAGACCACAAGGCAGTTCCATCTGGAAACAAAAATAAAAAGATTCAACTGCCAGCAGGGTAAGAATGAATAAATAATAAATTACAAAACGATAATGTGAGCACTGGATGTTATTTTTCTTGAGCTCTGACTCAGTTATTACTGATGAGTCAGGGACCCCAAACACCTCCATAAGAAGTAAGGGGAGATGTTTGGTTTGCAGTTACCCCCACAGACGCAGATGTATTAACTGATGTTCTTTTACCTCGTCTGCACTGCTTTAATAAATACTCAGCAGAGGCTTTGCTTTTAAATCCAGACAATGCCTTTGCCTGTTAGTTCACTCATGTCTGCTGTGTTGATCCAAAAAAAAATAAAAAAAATCAATGACCTTCAAAGTAGAGTGAGTGTCTGTTGTGTCCCAAGGACAGCAGTCAAAGACCTCTCCTAGAACAATGTCTGGTTTCTCTGTGATAAATGGGATACTGGAGCAATTCACAAAAGGCAGAATTCCTACAACTTGGTCTATTCTGTATTATCGTGGACCTTAATATGTATGCCAGGAATATCATTCAAGGGTCCTTTAGATTTGTTGGACTCTTCTGACACACTGTACTGATACCAAGTGTCTTAATTTAAAAGGAATAATGCATTTATTATTAAGACAGTTGGATGGGGAAAAAGACATCTTTTTACAGAGACAGACAGCATTTACTCTCAGAGCCTAAAAATGTAAGATGGCCAAGTCTGCGCAGACATCAAGAGCCTGCCAAATATCTTAAAAGCCCACTTGAGGATTAATTTAAAGATGGTTAGCTTACTCACCGCTGAGGCCAGCTGCTCTTCAGTCATATCCTCAGCAAACATGGGCCTGACGGCAGGCTCTTCAGGCAGAGCCTCTGCTGAGCCCATCATCAGCAGAGTCATTCCCTACAAATTAACAGAAACAGATTCCAGGGTTTTGGTTAAATGCAGTGTTATTTAAAACTGCTCTTTTTTTCACATTGATCTTACAACCTTAGTTTGTTTACTCACATTTTTCAATTTAATGTTTCCCCACTCATCATCCTAGAATGGACAAAAGACATAAATTAGTTCGCATATAACACACAAAAAGAAAGCTCTGTGGGGTTTGTTTTTTTTGCCTTAAACAAACGGTCACATTTGTTTATTCGTAATTATTGATTTTGAAAAAAATACATTTCCTAAATCTTAACATATAAATGTTATAATATTTTCACAAAACATTTTAGTGTCTTTTTATGAAACAATCCAGCTGTGTGTTTCTTTTAAATTAATTTTTGTATTTGGTTTATTATGACACTACCTTCAGAGTGCCGCCCTTCACCATAACTTTCTGTCTGTCTGGTTGAACTCCTGTGAGGGCAAAGAGCTGAGCTTTGAACACCATGGGTGGTTCCTCGGTGTTCAACTCTATTGAATCGAACTTCTCTTTGCCCCATTTCACGTTTACTGAAACAGATAGAACAGTAGAACAGAACAAACTCAGACTGACATGTGTTGGTAAACAACAGGACGTGTTAATTCAGTGTCTTTTTTCTGACACCATACAGACTGTTAGTAACCCGAGTGTCATGCCGTAGCTAACGGGCTGTCCAGCACAAGCTAATAAAGAGCATGACTGCGTACAAATACAGGTCGAAATGCATTGTAATACAGCGTCAATATATTCAATAATTATCAAGTTTTTATTCTTTACACTGCGACAATCTTCAGAAAACGTCATACAGTACCAAAATATATTGTTTTTAAAATACAATACATTGTTAGCAGTGGTGCCACAGCTAAATCTACATGGTTCACTTATTTATTCTATGTTAAACACATACATTAATCCTACATAATGTGCTTATCCGTACACTTACTTGCAACTTTTAGCAAGTTTGAACCATCTGAGCTGCATTACGATAGACACTAGGCTACAACTTACAGTAAGCTAGCTGTTTTCTGCTTTGTCGCTGGCAGTTGCTCGTCTTTTGAAAACAAATCTAAACAGAGCTAACAATATACTTCAATCCAGTGAACTAATATATGTTAATGTTATCTCACATTCGACGTAAAATGTAGTTTTCTAGAGAAATTAGAGGCCTAGCTTTAGCTGTCAGCTACTGCTAGCACGCAGAAAAGCACATCATGCTAACGCTACATCAGCTAACACGCTAATGTAATTTCATGTTCCTTCACTAAAAGTCGTGTAGATTCTCGTTGCTGAAACATTTCCGTGTCAATCGATGCGTCTTGCTCAGATATGATCCTACCTGTAAACACCGGCATGTCTGGTAAGTTTCAACTTGAACAACTCTATATATCCTGTTTCGATTCGGGGAGCGCGAATCAGGAGTTGGTTGTTTCTCTGAACTTCATTCAAACAGAATGACACTGCAACAACACGCTGGGAGCCTATCGATGTGCTCTGACATCGAACAGCAGGCCTGCAGCATGCACCGAGACCTAATTAAACACACGGAGAACAGTTCAACGCCAGAATAAAATAAAATAGAAATTGTGGGAAAGAGGTTGGAGACCCTTAATCTATATATCTATTTTAATATTGTTATTCTATTTATTTCTACGTCGTTTATATGTTTAATCTTTAGGTTAACACGTGACAGGTTAATGGTGTGCATGTTTTTGCCTTGAATTTTTGCTATCTTAGAAATAAAAATAAAATAAATTCAACATAGCTGTTGACCACAATCCATCCTTTCATGGGTTTTCGTGGTCAACAACTATGTTGAATTTCATGTTTTTATTGTAAGATAGCAAAAAACATAGGCCTGTCACCATTTGCTATTATTGTGATAAATAATAATGGATTTAAGATTCAGCACATACAAGGTCAGCTCGTGTGCTTTTTCCCCCCTTTATTATTCATTGCCTTTAACCAAGTCAGTACTTAGGTTTCTGCACTTCCTCAGGCAACAGCAACCACTTTGCTCAACAAGTAGAAGTTGTCTTTAGTTGTCTTGCTTGATAATAAAATCTGTGAAAACAAACAAGGAAAACTCTTACAAAACAGATGATAGAGATATGTTTATTGACATATCCATCAGTGCGGACTTCAATGCAATTAACCATGCAAATTATCCAAGACAAGAGTAAATCATATTTCCAGTGCTTTTTTTTAACTGAGCAAAAAGTTACAAATGAAAGATTGCGGAGGTATTCCATAATCCTTGTCTCTTGCATTATATACACTCTGTGTGTGTGTGAAGGGGATCTGCATTAACGGGACATTACCAAGTACATGACACAACTTGTAAATGTTAACGACGACAATCGATGACACTGGTAAGTACACCCTCCCAAATCTGTCATGATATGAACCCGGTCTGGAAACTCTGTTTTGAAACGCTAACTCTATTGCAATGTGTCCATAAAGAGGTAATCTAATATATATATATATATATATTTATACTTTATATACTTAAACCAAAATAAGTATATTCAGATAAAACCACAAAATGTGTGGCAATTTCTTAAAAAATAAGTGATGGAAGAGTTAAGATTTGTCTTGTTTTGGAGAAGAAGAAAAAAACAACAAACAAAAGAACAAGCAGATATGGCAGTAAAATCGATAGCCAAACGTTAAGGCACTAGGTGGGCCGAATGCTACACCTGTTCTTCTACAAATAATTTACAATTCAAACAGTGCAGTTTTACATTTGTTAACTTAATGTTTTCCTTTTGAACCATTTATCTATGAATCAATGTAAGGCAATACATTACAAAAAAAGTACAAGAAAACAAATTACAATGTACCAAATAAACAAAACAAAAAATCCATTAGGTTTCAGAACTCCTATATGCCATTACAATGGAATATTCCTTATGGCTTGGAGCAATAAAAATAATTACAATAAAAATAATGCATAGATTTAAATGATGATCTTGCATGCTCCTCACAATAAGCAAAATATTTTAATACTCGTGTCCCAAATACTCTGTCCCAAACCTGAAAACTTGAGTTGCAAGTGAAGAGAAAAAAAAGACAAAACGGCCAGAGATAAAAGTCGAAGGCATCTGTTGTTTGTTTTTGCAGATGGAGACGGAAGTGAGCTTGAATTCTATCAGCAAAGGAAAAAAATCACAACACAGGATTTTGACATTTCTCCCCTGAGACACAACCACTGACCAGGACTGGAAACCTCCTGAACAACAGTACCTTAATCCAAAAACATACTTTGCAGAAGACCCAGCTCTAACCTTCCAGTTTCCGGCATGACTGTCACGTATTAGAAACACAAAACTGTTCAGGACACGTGCGCCATCTCATGGCACAACTGGAAGGATGCCAGCTGTTGGCGGTCTGGTGCTGACAGGAGACAGAAGGGCGAACCAGGCCTCTGTAATGTCCATGATGCCTTGCGTCTGCTGTGTTTTGCGATCTTCCAGCGCTGACATGTAATTGATATATTTCTTTCTTTTTTTATCAATTTTTTCTACATTACAGCCTTCTCCGTTTTTGAGGATGTGGAATGGTTGAGGTGGTTAGCTGAAAGAAAGAAAGAAGAGAGACAGATTTCCAGTAAAAGAAAGACGACAACATGTCACTTTTAGTTAGTAACCCACTTTGAGTCAACGTGTAACAGAGAAAATAAGTTGTTCACAGATGCCACAACACCCTAGTCACCCTTTTGCATCATGTTTGACAGGTAAACTGTTCTGACCACAGTTAAACATTAGGTTTATTATGTTAGTTAGTAAAAAAAATAAAAACTAACAACACATTAGTGCCTTTTAGAAACGATGAGAATCCAAGTGTCAACTGGAAAAAGCCCAGGAGTCAGCCAACCAACCAACCAACCAGTCAGGAAGTTTCTTGTGTTAGAAATACCCAGTAACACAATTAATAAATAGACAAGTTTATTTCTGAAGACAAGTAGTCTAAAAAAAAGAAACAACACTTTCTGAAGAAGTTCCTGTCAACAAGTGCTGGAGGTTGTGTCTGCTGCTTGGAGGCTGGACTGCGCTCTGCTACAACACAGGAGACAAACAGCAGGTCATGTGTCTGACTGGAGCACATTGTAGCCACCAGGTGGAGACAAAGAAAAGACTGACTGGAGCACACCCTTCACTTTATGGCCTAAAACTATATACCACGGTGCCTCGCTGTAGGTCATGCAGTGAGATATAACTAAACTAATGGACACAAGTTTCTGGAAAAAAACACACACACCACCCTATGATTAAAATTATTGCAAAATAAAGCAGAATTAGAGATCTTCTGGTTACCTCAGCTTTCCTGTATTGCTTTTAGGGTTCCTGCGGAAGGACTGGTTGGGTCCAGAGCGTGTGGACATAGAACGAGGAGATGCTCTTGAAAACGTAGATGGTGGTGTTTTAGGAATCTTCTTTCCCAGGTGGCCAATCCACTTCTTCTGTTCATCTTGGGTCAGGGCCAGCAGAAGCATATCCCGGGCAGAGGTCACATCGTAGTTTACTGCGAGGTAAACAGAAAATTAGGTTGATCGAGAACGCCTGATCAGACACTAGACATTTTGCCCTTATTATTATTTATCTTTTTTTGCCTAAGGTTATATATTATCTGCAAAAATCATTAGCTTGACACGGCGAGATACCAAATTAACACCCTGTGGCTGTTTGGTAAAAAGGAAAAAACACTGAGGAGCTATAATCACAAGACTGACAGGAAAAAAAACAGACTCTTGTCTTGTTACCTTTGCAAGGAGCAATGACGTCCTCCTTTTTGTCGAGATGGTCCTTGTGGCACTTGACGTGGCAGCGACGGCACTCCAGAGCCGGAGGTGGTTTGAAAACATGCCACAGAGGCTTGGCGCAGGCCTCACAGTTTGAAGGGAAATGATACAGCGTGGGGATGAATTCGTGACCTTTGTGTGGGAGACAGTTGGTCTTGTCACCCTGAGGGACTGTCTCCATGTCTGCCTCCTTCCTGCACTCCCCCTCGTTGGCATAGAGAATCTACATAAAAAGAAAAAGAAAAACACACATGTTTTTTTTTTTAAATATTTCCTGGGCATGGTACAAATTTATTATATAAACTATAAATATTTCCTGGGCATGGTACAAATTTTAAAATAATAAAAAACACGTGTGTCAGGAGTTAGTTTAGTGGATGAGACAACCATGGAGGTAAATTAAAAAAGGGAGATGGCCTCCAACCTGGAATATCCTTGGGATTTCCTCTGTCTCAGCCCGGTACACGTCTCCTTGAGTGACTGGTCTCACATGAAATAGTTTACTGTGCAGGAAAAAAAGGACAAAATCAGCAAGGACAATTACTCTGTCATTATTTCTCTACGGTTGTTAATTCAACCACAGAAAACTGAAGGCACACTTACTCTATATCTAGTACCATTGAGGGGTTGGACTGTTCTTTATCCTGCTCATCGTTGTAGAACAGAATCTTTTTACTGCTCACCACAACATACTGTAAAAAAAAACGTTCAATGGCTGTGGTATAACGGGGAAATACTGCAATACAAATACAATCTGTAGTCATTTATATTTTCACACACGAGTTACCTGCTTCTTCCATCCGTATCTTTTAATATTAGCACGATTAGGAATAGACAGCCAACCCTCCAACCTGGATTCTAAAAGGTCAGAAAATAAAAGAAGGAAAAAAAAAATCAAAACGGTGCATTCACAACAAGGACCATGCATTGATTACATCAAAAGTCGACTGGGGAGGGCGCCAGGGGCAGGTCATGATCAAAAGATCATAATTGTTGCATTACAGCAGGTGAACCAGTAGCTGCTCTGGAGTAGGTGACAAGACTTGAATTTAGACTTCTGATGTTGTTACGGTACACTCTCCAGGCAGAACAATGATGTTACACACAGGAAATTCTTCAACCCACATGAACAGAGCATGAAAGAGTGTTTTAAATGCATTAAAAGCACTGTAGATTAGAAGTGGGAATTCTTCCAATTAGCTTGATCTCTCACTCCTTCAATAAAGAAAAACAAATAATCATACAGTGTTAAAATGATAACTCCAAGTGCATGCAGCTGAAACAAGACAGGCTGAAACTGGAAGAGTCCATTAAAAGGGGCTGTTCAGTGATATCTGGTGAGGGGAGTTTTAGGGTTTGACAAAAGAACAACTTCTGGATGTACATGCAACACAAAAAAAGTGTTTGGGGCCAAACGGTGCTGTATGGTTGTTTTTTAGACACATTTTGAAAGGTGCTGAGAGTGATGTAAATCTTGCAGATGGAAGTGGTCGCTAAATTCTGAAGTGGACAACGTTAATGTGTCATTGTTGACACTTAACATCCTGGTAATGTTGGGTGAAAGGTTTTGACGAGCAGACGGTTACATTAAAAATGCCACTGGTTTGACACTCTGTAAGACTTCTTTCAAAAGTGTTTTAGAAAAATCCCCACAGTGCAGAGGCTGCATCTCCTCTGACCGAAGAACATTTGAGACAGTCGGGGGCAAAAGAAGACACGCGCACACACACGAGCTGCAGGGCAGGCCAGGCAAAGGCTCATTCACTCGGTTACTCACAGAGGGAAAGGAATAGCGGTTACAAAGAGAGGAAGAACAAGGAGAACCAACTGGACATGAGGGAAATAAAGAGACAATGGTTTTATTACAGGCACCGGCAAAACATGAGAAAAAACCTGGAACAAAGAACATTCTGAGGATGCACTCATCGGACTAAATTTATCTTCTCGACTTGATTCGATGACATCATCTTACCTAGACACAAAATGATTGAGCCTCAAGATGCATTTTTAAAAATATATACATATGATTGCAATGAATCATGATTAAAAGTAACTGATCTACAGCTAACCTGTGACTATATAGACTGCAAGTTCTAAGTGTGTGTTGATGATGCAAGCAAGCAATTTGCCCAATTTCTCCAGAATGTAAGTGACAATGTATGCAAACCTGTCTTGATTACTTACATTTAGTTCTAAGGAAATAAATTAAATGAACTGTTCCTAAGAGAACCAAAGCAAAAGAGAAATATAACAAATAAACCAGTTCCTAACTACTGTGAGTCGGTCCGCTGTTGCTCAACACTGGCATCAATTTCACAATCAGTGCATCATTAGAACATTCATATGCATGTGAGATCTTGTCTAAAACATTGTGACATTGACTGAGTGAATTTGAGCACTTTATATTAAGTACAGTTAGTGAACATCACTTATAACTTAAGACCTCTGTTTACCTGTAATAGCCAAGAACATCAGTCAATAGATAGTGTATAGTCATTATATTCTCCTAAAACTATATTCTTTTGCATTAAGAGTAGAGAAAATGCACTGGAAATGTGATCAGAAAGGCCAGTGTAAATAACCAACATAGAAACACATGCTGCATTAATCAACTTAATTTGGTGATTAATATGGCATTTGTCCAGACTGTAATCAACAGTGTCAACATCGCAAGATGTCCAGAGACGGTGACCTTACCTGCAATGTTGCTGTCTGTCTCATCCGTCTGCAAACTGGTTACGCTGGAGTTATCCATGCGCTGCTGCAGGTCGTTCAGTTTTTCCCTCAGCTGCTCAATATCACTCTCCTTACTGTCCAACTGCATTTGCAGCTCATTGCGATATGTGCATTCTTCCGCCAGTTGCTGTTGGTGAGAGTCAAAAGTTGATTTATTTTGATTATCGACAGGGAGAAGGTGGCGTTAACGTTAACTCACCGCCTGCATCTCACTCAATTCCTTCTGATACTTGATGGCCATGTGGTTGAACTTCTCTTTTTCCTGGTTAAGCTCCAGCTGAAGTTTGCGGTTCTCCTTCTCCTTCTTCCGCAAGTCAGCGGTGCTGCCTTTCTTCTTCTGGTCTAGCTTCATGTCCTTGCGGTTCATGATCTCTGCCAGCTTGTTCACCGCCTGGGAATTTCATGTGGACATATAAACACCCTTTACTGACAAATTATACACTCAGCATTTTCTGTATAGGAAATGAGGACAGCTTCTTGGAGGTAACCAGCTTCCTTAACGCATAATGACAAATGTTAACGAATAATTGACATCATCAGAATCATTACACAATTATCAATATCCATCCAATGGTCCATGTTTACCTGGGTTTTTAGCGTGCGTTCTGTGTTGAGCACCTTCTCATAGTTAGCCTTGATTGTATTTGCTATCTCCTCCTTCTGTGCTGCGTACTCTGGGGGCCACAAAATCTCAGCTTAATCACAACACAGCTATTTATGATATAATTCATATTCAGTTTTATAATTTAATTGTATAATTATAATTAAATTCAGATTTAAGCAGCAAATAGGGTTCATTTATCACTCAGGACTTTTGACACCACTTTTGTCAACAATCCAGGATATTTAAAAACGTTAACTCATTTCAACAGTGCTGTATCACGTTTACTTTAAATGACATATTGTGTAAGTGCAGCTGCAGAGTTGGATTCTAACAGAAACCCGACACACCTGCAGGCAGCAGCATGTAGTCCCTTCGTTAAAGTAGTTTTAATCAATTTACTTCTTAATCAATCAAAAGAACTAAATGACACAAATGTCCCAAAGTCTTTTCCTTTTTCCTGTGTTTTAAGCAGTAAAAAAATTACCTTCTTCCTGAGTTTTCAACTTCTCATTTAATTCAGCCGTCTCCTTGCTGAGGTTTTCTACATCTTTGGTGAGCGTTTTATTAGATTCCTCCAGCTGCAACAAGTTCCAAACGTCATTAATTCAAAACAGTAAGGTTCAATGATAATGTAACATCATAAAAAAATGCTGTCATAGTGAAGAGCTGGTTTTAAACTTAAGTCGGATTCTTATTTAAGTTTTTTCCTTACCCGTGAAATTGTAGAGTCCTTTTCCAGCACTTCTTGCTTATGTCTGGTCACTGCTTTCTTATTCTCTTGGCTCAGCTCAAAGTACTGTTCCTCCTGAAGTGCCCGGGCAAGCTGCTCCGACTCTGCCTTGGTCACTGTCAGATCCAGCTGGGCGGACAGAGAGTCCCTATGTCCAGAAAAAACAAATATTTAAAGTAATCAGAACAAAACCCTGTCTCATCTCTTGACTTCTGTTTTTGACTGCTTAATCGACCATCAGACAAAAATAATAAATCAATATGACATTTGCTGTCCAGCAGTTATTATTGGCAGCTGAGGTCTATGAACCACATGGCTGCAGTTTCTTACCTTTCACTGCACAACTCCTGTACTTTTTTATGAGCCTCCTGCACCTGTCGGTTCCGTTCCTCGATCTCTTCCTTTAGTTCCTTTACCTGAGTTTTGTAAAGTGTCTGGGAGAGAATAAAAGTACAGACAGATCATTGGCATACATTGCAGAGCATCTAAAATGACTCAGAGAAAGAGGGACTGGTAGTTATACTCACAGAAAAATACTGTTCGGCCTCAAGTTGGTCTTGAAGTTCCCTCATCTGTCCCTCGTTGCCTCTGTATTGCCTGATGACAGCAACAAAAACAGGAGACAGGTCATCAGTGTAACGTTTTTTCAAATATCAGCCATATTCCACACAGTATATTTGTACTTATAGGTTTAAGGAAAATTCTCTCTCTCTTTTAGCCACTGTAGTAAATGCAACAGGCAGCAGCAGCTGTGTTGCCTTTCAGAGTGGATTAGCAGTGGCGTAGATGGAGCTGGACTCATGGTAAACCCCTAATCCTGTGGTGTAAATGCTGTTACTGAGCAGCTTTGACCTACTCACCCTCTAAGCTGAAATAATAGCACAGATTTGAACATAACAGGCAATTGAAGGGCAATTATGTCTTGATTTCCAAAGAGCATTACTGGGCAGTGTTGACTGGGAAAACACAAGGCATTACCATCTGCTTCAGGAAAAAAAACATTTAGGTCTAGTTATTACAATTTATGTTGTAGTTTGTGCCAACACAAACCCAGACAGCTTTGAGTCTCTGTTTTTTTGTTTTAAAGCCATCTGTTGACACCGAGTGTGACTGTATTGAATTGCTCTGTTGTTGCAGTTGCATTACAAGGAAAATAAATAACAGTTTTCAGACTAAGTAAAACTGGATAATTTTCCACAGCACACAGAAATGTGTCAAGTTTTACTGACACCACCTGTATGTGCCCAGAATTTAGTATTAAGATTCAGACAGATGACTCACTTGGTCAGCTGTGCCAGCTGGAACTCCAGTGAGCGTTTGGTCTCGAGCGCTGTGTTGATCTCCTGCTTGAGCTGCTTCTCCGAACACCTCAGACGGTCAACTTCCTGCGTGCGACTCTTCAAGTCATTCTGAGCCAGGAGACGCTTACTTGACTCCTGCTCCAGTTGTATTCTAAGATTCTTCACCTGGAGGGTAATAAAATGATGAAGCAGATTCTAGTGCAATTTTAACAATTAATTAGTCACTTCTGCCACAACTGCTGTGGGCAGAGATATTACATACATCTTCTTCAAGCCTCTCCTTCTGCTTCATCAGCTGCTCCATCTTCTGCACAGACTGCTTGAGGTCAAACTCTAGCATCGAGCACTGCTTCTCCACCTCTACTACCCGACTCTCCGCTCTCATCCTTGCACCATTTTCCTCTGACATCTTCTGCTGAACAGCTGGAGAAGACAGATCACAAACTCGGGTTCATAATTGTCCTTCTTGTTATTGTAAAACAGCAAACTTCATGTACACTAATCCAGTCAAGTGTCTGATGTACAGTCTATAGTAAATATTGTGTTTGTCTTACCTTTATGGCCTTTCGTATGAATAATACTATTAGTTCATGTAAATCATCACAATTACCCAAAACTAAAAAAACAGGCAACAACAGCTCTAAAGATAATGAAGGTGCAAACAACAATTGAGCTGCAATGTATTAGTGCATTGCAAAATGCTTTAAAAAATCCAAGCATTAATATGCAATGAGGAAATGTCCTAACATGCTGACTAGTTTTCCTGCAATTGCTTTCACTCAAATACCAGTGGAGGGGAATCTGATACAAACTGTAATAAAAAAAGACGAGACAGAAAGTAAGTGACGTTGAAAGACGATGAAAGAAAAATAAATAAAAATATCTGAGCGTTGAATGAAAACACGCTATTGTAATGAAAAAAAATATACAAAAGCAGAAAAAGTAAAAAAAAAAAAAAAAATTAAATTCAGGCATGTTCTGACATTGGACCGGCATACCATTCATAGCAGCTGATTTGGCTTCCTCAATAGACTCGTATTTGTCAGTGAGCTGTGCCCGCGTCACCCTGTGCTCTGTCTGCTCCTGCTCCAGCCGCTGCTGCAAAGTCTTTAGTTTGTAGTTCAGGTCTATTTCCAGATTGTTCTTTTCCTGGTGGAATAAAAGGGAGGTCCAAGCACAGGTCAACACAAAATCTTTTTGATTTTATTAAAAAAAAACTGATATATGAATTTTTGTGTGTACCTTTTCCAAGTTATTGCACCGTTCCTGGGACTGTTTTCGTTCCAGCTCCACTTTTGCAAGGCTACCTTTTAAATTTTTGTTGTCCTCCTGCAACCCTGCCATCCATCCTATGGATAAGAGACAAAGGCTCTAAAATTCATCAACTGTACCTCATGCACCTGCTGACAGATTTATAATCACCATGTTCACTAGCTTACACATTGTGACACAAAACTGTTTAACAGATTGAACCATAACATTCATCATTTGTTCCAGTCACTATGGTTGTAACAGTCATTTTGTGTGAGTGGGTCACCTTGCAGCTCCCTGATCTCCTCTGACCCTAGGCTGTAGTTCCTCCTTTCAGAGTCCAGGGTACTCTGAAGGAGCAGAATCTCCTTCTCCAGCTGCGCCTTTTCTCCATCTGCTGCACGACTCCGCTCCTGCAGCTCTCGGTTCATGCTCTCCAGCTGGCTCATCGACTTCGCCATTTCAGTGTGGTTCTTCCTCAGTCTTGCCGCAGTGTCCGACTCTGCACGCAGAAGATCATTGGCCTCTTCCAGCTGGAAAAGAATGATGAAAAATAAAAAGTTACAAGGGGAAAAGTTCACTGTTTTGCTTTTGTTTACAAAAAGACAGTTCGCTTGCATGTCAACGGTACCTGATTCTGCAGCTGGACAACCTTATCATTGGTGGCCTGAGAGTTCTGACTGATCTTCTTCATGTCCTCTAGCTGCTCCTTCAGAGTTATTACTGTTAATAAAAGGGACATTAATTAGACAGAACTGCATTGCAAATTCATTTTCAAAGACAAACATCTCTAATTTGCTGATTGAATTAGACTCATATTAACTAAACGGCTGCAGCAACATAATGCAATTCTCAGCGTTTTATTGCCTGTTAATCCACTTAGTGTTATCTCAAGAAGCAAGTCAGACACACATTCAGGATGGCCTGAATTTAGCATTGAAATTTATATAGTTTAGGACAGGAGATGAATCATTTATTGCCCAGACCACATGGAATGATATTTAACAAATTATTATTATTATAATTATTTTTAAAAAAATAATGTTCAAGTATAGATGGCTTCCTTCTGTCTTTCATTTGCATCCCTTCTGAATCATGCATTAGTAGCGGCCGATTGTTCTTACCCTCATTCTCTGCATAGCGTCTCTTCTCTGCCTCCTGGTCTGCTTTTCTTTGGTACTCGGTGAATTTGTGCTGCAGCATGATCTTATCCTTCTCCAGCAGAGACATGCCGGCCTCGGTGCTCTTTCTGAGGTTTGCCTGTGGTGAGGGTCAACCACATGCAGGTATGAAAAATCATTAGAACCTCATTCTTCCAATTAGCTTAAGTGGTTTGTTGAGAACACATACAGTGTACTGCTACACAAAACCAGCACTGATCAAATAATGATAAAAAATAGTTGTTCACCTCCTCGTCGAGCTCTTTAATCATTTTCTCTATCTTGGTGTTCGATGTCCTGAGACAAGAAAAAAAAAAACTTAATGTGCAACAACACAAAATCAACTTTAATACCTTAATCCTTAAAACAAATAACCCAATTCCTCCTTCATTTTCAAAGCTTTACCTGCATTTTTGCTCCAACTCGTCTTTCAGTTGCATCTCACTGTGAAGCTGCTCCTCCAGATGATAGATTCTTTTCTGCAGGTTTTCCAGCTGAACAGTACAATATCATTTAGATGAATGAGATTAAAAATTGTAAACCTAGACCACATTAACACAATGCTTCTTTAATGAATACGCTGCTCACATGGCTTCTGTCTTCTTTTGTTGAACTGCTGCGTTTGTCGCTGGCTTTGCGCAAAAGGCTGCAAAAAAAGGATATTTTTCATACACATTAAACAAGAAACCCTTAGAATTTAAGGGGGTAGGCTGAAACAACTTTTTTGTCAGTAAATTAAAAATGCAAAATTATAATGTGGGTATACTTCGTACTCTGCAACAGAGATGTGTGACTTACTGGTGATTGCTGTAGTAAGTGAAGCCCACAAAGGGGAGCTGGTTGCCCACAAAGGCCTTGGGTACAGGAAAGGTCTCCTCCTCTCCTCTGTCTTCTTCAATGTCATCAAAGTTGCTGGTGTCAATGTCACTGCTCAGTTCAGGCACAACAGGAGCAGCCGCTGTACAAGAGTACCAGGACACAGCAACCTTATGAGGACTGTGGTTCCTTTACCAACATAGGTCTTCTGTTTGCACTAAAATTTAATTGAATTTCTAAATGTAATCAATTTTTTAAAAAAAAGTGACTAGACAGTCTTGTTTTAGTTCAAATGCTTACTACTGTTTTCTCTCTTATCATCTACTAAATACATGATTTACTGTTTATCTACATATCTGGGAGATAAATGTCAAAAGGTTCCCTGGCTTACATTTGTCTTCTGGAAAAAAAGGCAGGCAGCCAGCTTGCAGATCAGCCAGGGAAACAACAGCAAAGTGCTGACCTCAGCTTAGTTAAGTGTTAAATATAAAGCTGCTGAAGACTCGACTCCAGCCACAGCGTTTTCGCCAAACATTTTTTTTTATCTCTGTCTGTTCCAGAGTTATTCCCAATGAACTGCCAACTGTACCGAACTGATCTCCCTGCAGCTGGCTCTAAAGGCTTTACGCTGCCGGAATTCATGTTTAATCTTGAATAGGATGCAGAATGAATGGCTCCGCTACAAGAATTTCCTGCGTCTGTCTAGAGTAGGTCAAGCGTAAAATAAGGTTGCAGTGCAATAACACTGAGCTCAGCTGACTGCAGCCTAAATAGAAGCAACAGAAGAAAGAAATTCATCATAAAGACAATGATAAAAAAAAAAAAAAAACGTACTGTCTCTTATGTTGTCCCAGGTCCACTGGTCATTCTTGAAGAAAGGATGCCTCTTGATCTCATCTACACCGTTACGGCCAAGTCGAACTTCTCTGTAATGAGCCAAGAAAATCATAATGAATTTGACAATTCAGACTCGGACTGAGACTTTACTCAAAGCAGAAGAGTAAGTGATTCACATGAAACAAAAGCAGGGTCGTCAACGAGGACACTCACAGTGACCTACTTCCTGTTCTGTTGTTCACTGACCTGTCAGTCAAGAAAGCACAGATGAGATTCTTGGCATCGTTGGAGATGTCGCTGTCCTCAGGGAAAGTTAGGGCGTTTTTGTGGTTCATAATTTTGCTGTAAGTCCCCACCAGTGAGTCTGCATAAAACGGAGTGTCGCCTGTGCACAATATATCGCAAGCACCAATCAATTAATTACCACATGCAGTATATTTGTTCCAAGCAGTCAGTGAAGTGTACAGTAGAAGAAAGAATCTTATAGTATTCAAAATCTTCACTTTGAAATTTCTATTTTAAAGACATGTATCAGGTTAAACAGCAAATAAATAACTCACCAACGAGCATTTCGTACAGGAAAACTCCCACTGACCACCAGTCACACTCTCTGCCATAGTAACCATCTCCTCCTTGAGATTTTAGTACCTCGGGTGAAATGTAGTCTGGAGTTCCCACTGCTGTATCACATCGTACCATACCATCCTGCGGGGAGACGTGAATTATTAACAGATTTTTCTTAAAACCTTAATGATAAGCACAGTATTATTGTTATTATTATTATTAGTAGTAGTAGTAGTACTAGTTGTAGTATAATAATAATGATAACAATAACAAAATAATTACAATGGTAATGGTACATTTGACATGTAGGGTTAACATGCTCATAATGACCAGATGTATATAATTAAAACCCATAACAAAAGCTAAAAGTTATAAATCACATATTATTGGACGACATTTGTTAGACTCGGGTAAATACCTTGTTCATTTTCATGCAGGTCCCAAAGTCTGCCAGTTTTAGGTGACCTGATTTATCTAGCAACATGTTGTCTGGCTTCACATCTCTGCAGAGACAAAAATAAAAATGATGTGACTTTAGGTTACAGTGAGTAAACAACGTGACAAAGTTAAGCACGTTTCAGCACAGGGAATTGTCAGGTTTGTATCTGTACATGTGAGGGGTTTCTGATGGTGCCACTGAGGGAAATGGCTGTGTACACCAGAGCGGTCTCAAAGTACCGCATGCCTCTGCTGCGAGAAGTTAATGAGGTATGAAAGGAGTTGAAAGAGGGGAAACTTTGGCCTTGATGAAATTCCCTTGCGTTGCAACTTACACAGCGAGCTAATGGGAAAACAGTGGAGAATTATTTAACACATCTGTCGTGATGTGAATTCTCCACCACTGCGGCTAAACACCAAGCCTAGGGTGTCAAATGGTGTTAGTAGACATTTAACAAAGGTGAACAAAGAAATTCCATCTAAGGAAGAATAACAAGTGGACTAAATTCATTTATTAAAATGTCTGTAGAGATGTAGCAAATATTAGTTTATGAATAAAACAAATAAGTTTGAAGCAAATGATGATAAAACTAGTTGGTAGACCTGCAGCTCTTACAATCTAACGTTAATGTAAAAAACACTGTGACCACCTCTTTAAGAGGTAAGAGCTCTGAAGGTTTATAATGATGACTTGGGGATAATTAAAGGTCAGAAATTTAAAGGATAACAGAGGAAGATAAAAACTAAAAACAATCTCCTGTTTTCTGCACACAAGTGCGTTGATGTATAATGACATGCAAAATGAGGTGTCACACGACAAACAGCACATTTGGGCGCAGCTCAACCAGAAAAACTTTCACATAGCACTGAGTACTGATGGGGGAGCCAAGGTGTCACTGCCTCTCCTGGCAAGACGCACAAACATCACAACCAAAACATGATGAGACATATGAGGGAAGCTACGTGTGGCTGACAGCTAGCACTTCTTATTTCTTAAAAAGTTTCAGTGGGGTCATCTCTACTGTCTGGTAAACTGTGGTCCAGGGTGAGGAGAAGTTTGGTTTGACCTGTGTATGAAGCCCATGGCGTGGATCCCATCCAGAGCCAGCACTACTTCGGCTGTATAAAAACGGGCCCACTTCTCTGGAACGTCATAGTTGCTCATCAGATTCACCAAGTCGCCCCCAGGCATGTATTCCATTACCATGTAGAGGTAGCGGTCATCTTGGAAAGCAAAAAAAAGCTGCAGAAAGGCAGAGGGGAAACCACCAGTGAAAAAAAGCTCTAATAAGCATTATTCAAATTTGATTATTCAATAATTTTACAATAAGTATCATCATATCTTACCTGCACCACCCATGAGCTGTTGGCAAAGGCCATGATGTCCCTCTCTTCCCAGAAGAAAGCAGAATCTGACCTTTTGATCATCTCAAACTTGCTGAGAAGCTTCATGGCATAAACTTTTTTTGTGCCTTTGTGCCTTACCTGTGAGGGAGTTAAGGTGAATGTAATTCATTCAGACTTAGTAAAATATCATGTTCTAGAGATATAAAAGATAGCGAGGTCCATATATTAGAATTTAAAAAGAAAAAGAAACTTTGACTAATTCTCACCAATTGCACTTCTCCAAACGCTCCCCTCCCAATGACCTTGACCACCTCATAGTCTTCAGCTTTCATTCGTAGATCACGAATTTTACCAATAGTTTCTTTATCTAAAAAAAAGAAGAAATATGTTAGACCTGTGTTGCCTATACAACACTGCCGATGAGTTCATTTCATATTTATTGAAACATTAAAAAGAGTACAAATTTCAACAAAGCAATGAAAGTTTTACTGAGAGACGATTTGAGCACTTATGCCTCAGAGATGTCTCTTCAGTTTGGTTCGTTTCTTACAGAGAGTTAGCTTTTCCTAATTAAACAACACTGGTTCCCATAGGAGAGACAGCATTCAATGTCTGGCCAAATTTGGTCATAGCTGTACTATGGGGATGATTTTTAATTCACATGGGCCACAAGTTGCACGGAAGTGCATGGAAAAGGGAAAATGTGGGGACATTAAAGTTCAATTGAACAAAAAAAAGCAGGCAGTGAGCTTTCTAGATCAGTGACATCGTCATTTCCAGTGTGTGCAGAGGTTCTGAGGTCATGATCCTTAACGACAAAGTCCCAGCAGGCCAAAAAGATATATTAAGGATGCTTTGAAATGGTTGAGAAAGGGGTTTATTAGTAGCATGTAATATGCTGTTCTGTGGGTGTTAGTGGATTATTTCCAGTAGGACTCCGCATTTACACAGTCAACAATCAGCATTACGTTCAGTGGGTAAAGTATGATGTATAGAGGAAAGAGGGCACATCTAAGATGCTTCAAAGCAGCTCACAGGATGGGGAGTCCATTGTCCATGTCCATGAACCCATTTTCAACACTTAGATGCTCGGCACAAAAGCAGTGAGATGCCCTAAAAGCAATTTTGCTCAGGGCTTTTGTAGAGGGGGTAATCATTTAATAATTTGAATATAATAAACCCTGATAACAACTGATAGAACAACCTTATAAACCATCATTTCCAATTTTATAAAATTAAATTCTGCCTCAAATAAGAAGGGTCCTTTCTGGGTCATAACTATAAAATGTAGGCGACGCGTTCTGCTTGCAATGGGTTTGGGATGCCAAAGCGCTCTCGGGTACTGAATGCAAAATTCATGGGTGGTTGGTATATATGCAAACATGTTTTTGCTATTTTGTAATAGGTTTTATTTTAATCAGTTGCCCATTTCTTATGTACGCTTTAAGGTCATAGCAAAGCTTCAAAACAAATAAGGACTACGTTATTTCCAAATGTGCATGTTTAATTCCATAAATTAAATTCTAATTTTTAAATGTCAAAAAACAAATGACCTCAGTCACTAGGTTTCCTCAGAAGAACATAACGTATATTTACAAATTACAATCCCAGAGTAAAGGGGTTTGGACAAACGGAAAAAGAGGAGGCATCACGAAGGGAACCATGTAGGTCACCAACCACTTATCAAAGGCCTTTTGTTGGGGACCCTAACCAGCAGACACCTATTCTCTTCAAGCCTAGATAGAGGCTGTAACACAAAACAGTCGTCTTTCCTAAGCTTGGGTTTACACATGCGTGCAAGAGGGGGCCTGCAAACACAGAGAGAAGCATGATGACTGCTACTTACATCTATTCAAGAAGTTGTCAATGCTCTTGTTTTTCCTCAGGGCAGGGAAGTCAAGGTCATACACCAGTGCATCCAAGCCATCCTAATGGGAGAAGACAGAAGTTAATAATGCAGGAAAATAGTTATCTCTGTGAAGTCTCAGACAAGTAAAACATACACTGTCCAGGTTTCTATCAGACAGCTTTGAGCTTCCAGACTGGATTACATTAAACATTAAAAACACAGATAAATCAAGTTTATTCACAATGTTTGGTCAATTTATTTTACAAGTAGTACAATAACAATTAAAAAAAAAGAAAGAAATCTTCTGGTACTTGTCTTTCTATAGCGAATGCTGCATCTAAATAGGGAAAAAACAACTAGCAGAAGGCTTGAGGAAAGTCCGGATTAACTCAAGGCTAAGCATCAGAACAGATGGCATATTGGATATTATACATAAAATTGAACATGTAAAGCAACGGCCTAGTTGTTACATTTGTTATGTGTGGTTATGCATTACAAAAAAGATTTTATTCACAGTTTTGTGATGTCAGATGTGTACAAAAGATGAGCAGGCACTTACGCCCAGACAAGGGAGATGTTACGGCCTGTCCTGCTGCGACAGACATGTCGTTTTTAAGGTGAGTTTTGTTTTATATCCAGCATGAACCTTCATGAAGATTAAGTCTACTTTACTATGTAAACAGTGCTTCATTTTTCAGTACAGCTTTTTCTTAACATATATGTCTGCATGCTAATGTGCCTGGAAGATTTTACCACCCACCAGTCATTCCAGCAGGAGGAACAGAAGTTGTATTTCCCACCCTTGTCACAAAGTTTCTAATAAAAGCAACGGGTGAAACGAAGTAGCTCTGAATGGCTGAGGCATGAGGGTGGTGCCTTACAATAACCATACCATGAGGTCAACTGTGCGTCTTTACACAGCTGTGACACCCACGGGAGTTACAGACGTTACTCCCGCCCTGCAAATTTGTGGAATCCTTTTATGAATCTCCCACATGACATCTTAATATGCACCATCTAAACATGTAAGACAAGGCTTAAGAAAAGAAAAATGCCAATTGATTAAATTGTAGGGCAAGTTAATCATGCAGCAGGTACCATGAGGGAATTTCAAGAGCTGTAAACAAAGGGCACAGCACGGGCTATCTTGCTTCAGGCTAGGCAGGAACACAAGTGCCACTGCTGGGACTCAATCTAATCTCCTATAATCCAAAATGGTTAAAACAAGACAGACACAAAATCTTGAAAATGCTTTTAAACATATCCCCAAGATTAGGCAAACTTATTATTAAAAGTGAAGAGGAATGGTTTGTTTATTTGATAATGACTACATCAACTCTATACTCACTATCGTTGCAGGAATCCTGCCATTCCTGTATTTTCACAGAGCCTCTTACAAGTTATGTCACATTTTTGTTCCATTTTTTTCTATCACTGAGCAAACCAATGTCGGCACATGGTGGACCAGCAGCTCAGGCAAGGTGAGAAATCTGCGCCTTCTGCTCAGCAGAGGTCACGAACATATAACTATTTAGGAGACAGAAGAAGTCAACGCCCTGCGGTTTGGGTGGGAGCATGCAAAATGTAGCTTTTTTGGTGGGTGGGTGTAGATTGGCTTGTGGGAAAAGTACATTTTGACATCACAAGAAACAGAATGTAGCCAATTTACATAAAAGATTAAATGTGATTGTACGCATCACGTTGCAGAGCAGCATTTTCTGCTCATCCCTAAAAAAGCTCACTTTAAGGAGGGACCATTTACACAAGGCAGGCCAAAAAATCATTTTTTGGCCAAACTCTATTCAGTCGGCCAGCACTGGAAAAAAGTGCTAAAGAACTGGGTCCTTCAGGACCCTAATCATAAGGCTCTGTGCTCAGCAATGCACGTTTGCATAACTTCCTGCCGCAGAGAACTCTGGACAGCCACAGTAACATTCCTTAACAGGACTGTACACGTCAGAGAGCTATTTTAGGTATGTGGCCAAACAAGTTCTCAACAAAAAGTAAAAGGACGGGGGAAAAAACATATTCCAAGTACAGAGTGAAAAATAGTGAATCTTTCTGATCAGTACAAGTGCTCAAAACCACACAGATAGGAGCAGGGAGTGGAGTGAGTGGTGCATGTGAAGCAGGCTGGTCCAATGGTAGAACAAATGAAGGAAAAAACAAAGAAAATCGG